AATCCTATATAATAAAAGCCTAATATGCTAAGTGTCCAGTCGTCCAGTCGTCCATTCAACCAATCAAAGCATAATATGCTAATGATATGCTAAGGCCGCTCTACCGCTCACTATGACATGCACTGACCACCAGAGGCAGATAGTCAACCAGTCGACCAGTTGCTATGATGTGCACTGACCACCAGGGGGCAGCTCAACACAGGAGATGCCCCCTGGTGGTCAGTGCACTCCCGCAGCGGCAACGCTACTCAGCTGACCACTGACTGACTGACAGGCACTAGACCAGCCGTGGGCAAACTACGGCCCGCGGGCGGGATCCGGCCCGTTTGAAATGAATAAAACTAAAAAAAAAAAAAGACCGTACCCTTTTATGTAATGATGTTTACTTTGAATTTATATTAGTTCACACAAACACTCCATCCATGCTTTTGTTCCGGCCCTCCGGTCCAGTTTAAGAACCCATTGTGGCCCTTGAGTCAAAAAGTTTGCCCACCCTTGCTCTAGACTCAGGGCTCATGGCTGCCCACTGCAACAGAGCAGGTGTGAGCCTACCGAGGGGAGGCAGCAGCAGGCGCAGCGGGGCCAGGATGAGCAGGAGTGGCAGGCGGCATTGGACTGCTGTTTTCGCCCCATCCCCACAGGCCCCGGTGAGGGACCTCACTGGTGCACAAATCCATGCACTGGGCCTCTAGTAAAAATATAAAGGGAAGGGTATGAAATGAAAATACATGTTTTGTGTAAGAGAGAGCTAATAGGTCACCTTGCTGAAGTCAAAAATTTAGTCAGGCCCTGGTGGGGCAGCTCAGTTGTTTGGAGCATCATCCCATACACCAAAAGATTGTGGGTTTGATTCCCGTTCAGGGTACATACCTAGGTTTTGGATTGGATCCCCGGTCCGGGTGGCTATGGGAGGCAACCAATCAAAGTTTCTCTCTCTTTCTCTCTCCCTCCCTCCCTTTCTCTCTCTAAATATATCCTGGGGTGAGGATTTTAAAAAATTTAGCCAGGATGTATAATGAATCAAAAGGCTGTATAAGATATAGGTTAGATTATGGAGGGTTTTCAATATCATACTAAGGATATTTGGAAAGCACAGGGGAATGTGGAGAAGTTTCTGAGCAGAAGTGTCTGAAAAGGTACTTATTCTTGAAATGTTAATTTGGCAATAGTGTACAAAATGAAGTGAGAGGAGCCCACACTTGTTGCTGTGACCTAAAAGGACCTGTGTGAGCTGGTCACCGTTTATTTTCTCATCTGACACTATCCCTGTAGTTACAATAGCCTTCTTCTGTTCCTCAAATTAGGCAAGTTTTTTCCTGCCTTGAGCCCTTATACTTGTCGTGCCCTCTGCTGAAATGCTCTCCCTCCAGACCAGACCTTATAGCTGCTTCCTCATTAGTTCTAGATTTTTAGCTCAAATGAAAGAGGCGTTCTCTGACCACCCATAACCTTCTTTCTCCTGTCACATCACATCACTCTATCTTTTTAAAACAAATCTACTTTTAGTCCTAGCTCAGCGGTTCTCAACCTGTGGGTCGCGACCCCTTTGGCGGTCGAACGACCCTTTCACAGGGGTCGCCTAAGACCATCCTGCATATCAGATATTTACATTACGATTCATAACAGTAGCAACATTACAGTTATGAAGTAGCAACGAAATAATTTTATGGTTGGGTCACAACATGAACAACTGTATTTAAAGGGCCAGAAGGTTGAGAACCACTGCCCTAGCTGATTTGGCTCAGTGGATAGAGCATTGGACTGCAAACCAGAGGGTCCTGGGTTTGATTCTGGTCAAGGGCATGTACCGAGACTGAAGTCTCCTCCCCGGTGGTCAATGTTTCTCTCTGTCTTTCCCTCTCTAAAAAATCAATGGAAAAATATTCTCAGGTGAGGATTTAATAAATAAATAAAATAAAAATCAGAAATTAAAAAATACATATACTTTTTTTATTGCTTTCAGAGAGGAAGGGAGAGATAGAAACATCAATGATGAGAGAGAATCATTGATCTGCTGCCTCCTGCACACCCCACGCTAAGGATCGAGCCCACAACCTGGGTATGTGCCCTGACCAGGAATCAAACCATGACCTCCTGGTTCATAGGTCCATGCTCAACCACTGAGCCACCCCGGCCTGGCACTCCATTTTATCTTTTTCGTAGCATTTGCAAGCCTCCTTCCAGATAAGTCAAGGTCCTGAGGGCAGCCTTATGTCTTGTTTTTGTTGAATCTCTTGCAGTATGCCTTGGCACTCAGTATTCATTAGGAAGGGGTGAGATCTGTTAGGAACCAATTATATCTAGTTTTGGTTTGAGACTTACTGTCCCAGTCAGACACGCATCTTCTTCATTCTTGTACTCATTCTGCATTCAGTCCATTTATTTTTTAAAACATATTCTTATCGATTTTAGAGAGGAAGGGAGAGGGAGAGAGATAGAAACATCAATGATGAGAATCATTGATCAGCTGCCTCCTGCACGCCCCCTACTGGGGATTGAGCCCACAACACGCGCATGTGCCCTGACCCGGACTCAAACCGTGACCTCCCTGTTCATAGGTTGCCGCTCAACCACTGCTTCATAAATGGGCTGGGCTCCGTCCATTTATTAAACCACCGCTTGGCACTTCGGTGCTGAGGATGGAAGAAGGAATCAGACTAGATTTGGTAGACTTGATGACAGCAGCTCTGTTTCTGAACAGACCCTACAGGGCCATGTCGAAGTCACCTCCCCCCAGGGATACTTGGTCTGAACCGCCACCCACCCGCCTCTGGAGACCAAAGCGACCTCTGCATCCCCCCCTCCCAGCTGCAGAGGAGCAGCCCCTCCCCGCCGGGTCCGGAGCCTGGACCGGGGAGAGTCCAGGAACGTGGCCATGCTGGTGAGATCGGCCTTGGCGTCTCTGGGGGCC